ACACACCTGTACCTGTATATGTGAGGGGCTGCGATAGGACCGGTCGTGGCCGGTTGGCTGAGGTGCATAGTTGTCGGCCTGGTCACTCGACAGATCCTCCAGGAAGTTGGATGGAACCAACCCTCTCCTTCCCCCCATCTCACCCTAATCAAGAAAACAATTTAGCATCAATTTAGTAGTAGTATAAGATAAAACATTAGATTCTGGTCTTGTCTCCTCTTCATATTTATCTGCCATCCAAGTTCCGGTATGGCAACAGACATCTTTGCCCATTTTCGGCAGGTTGACCACTGTCGGAGGGCAACAAACTTTATTTTATTTTTCTTTCTCACAAAATCAGGTGAAAATTAATGCGCGCACTGATGCCATTCAAAAAAATTACTTGCTATGGCCTAACAGTTTAAACCTGTTTTGGGATATTTTTCACCATATCTGAGAACCGATAAACTGCGGCCTTGCTTTGTCCGTACCATGAAGAATTGATAGTAAATAAATAAACAAACAAACAAACCATGAAGAACCCGTCCTCGTCCATCTCTCCCACCACATCTATGATGTCACCCTGGAAGAACGGAAGCTCCATCTGAAACAAACACAGGAAAAACACCTCCTTTACTTCAGCCTTTTACTCAGACATCTACTGTCTAGCCTACAGTCTAGCCTTGTTTGATTCAGTCTCAACTTTTGGCGCCGAGGGGTAGCGGATCTTGGGGAGCGGACTTAGGCTGACAAGGTTGGACTTCAGACTCACTTCAAAGTTTTTTGCCATGTATTTTTTACTATCTATTTTTTATTTCTTGTAACTATGGGACCGGTGAGGTGAGGTAACTCACAACTTTCAGGGCCTAAATTTGCTGTTACAGTACTAGTTTTTACTGCTAGATGGCGTTTTTGCAATAATGCAACCTTGGAGGAAAAGAAGGGCCAAGTTGATTTCTGTTCTTCTACAGTATGCTTCATAATTATGATATAAACGAACCTTAAATATTTGTCAATTTACTTGTTGAAACAATATATGAATCACCAATATGAATATCATTTTCTAGTACATACAGGGGCAGAGTGATGTATTGTCTACCAAACAAAAAAGAAATTTTGTTTCCAGTTAAAAAAAATCCAAGGCCCCAAAAGAGACAAAAGCTTTCCCTGTTTAAAGTTAAAACTTTTGGTCCAACACAAAAAATTTTCTCACCTAGAGCTTTCGACCAGTCACTTCTTTCAAGTGTGACATCAACACTGGGTCAGTCTACTGTGGAAGACCAGAGTGACTGGAAGAAAGCTCTAGGTGAGAGAATTTTTTGTGCTGGACCAAAAGTTTTAACTTTAAACATGTAACTACCAACACAGATGAACTTTAATGATAGTAAAAGCTTTCCCTGATGTGACACCCTGTGGGGAGGGGGGCGAAAGGTGAGACACAAATGAAGCACCTGCGAAAAGCTCCCACCAGCCTCCAGCTTCAGGGCGAGGCCGGTTTGGGGGATTGAGGAAAAACAGACCACATTTAGAGGCAATCCACAGTCAGTCCAGTCAAGTGAAATGTACAGTAAATCTACCGGAGTTACGACAAGAGAAATGTTGAGAGACTATAAGAAAGAAAGAAGTTCAGAGGACATTTTATCATACACCTGTAACATCTGTGTCCATAATATCACCATAGTCCATAATATCGCCACCTTGAGAAAAAGTATGCTTAAAGATATTTTTACTGCAACATACCCTAGGTATGCACATTTGATGTGTGAAGGAGTGCATACCAAAAGTATGTTGCAGTAAAAATATCTTTAAGCACACTTTTTCTCAAGGTGCCGATATTATGGACCCTGGTGATATTATGGACCCTGGAGATATTATGGACACAGATGTTACTGTAAGTCAGGGTTCAGTTTGGGGGCCAAGTGAGGTGCACATATAAGTGCCAGGTTACAATGTTTGGAGTATCGGGTTACACTGTTGCAGAAGTGTCAGGTTACCTCCGTGTCCACGTTGGGGGACATCTCCTGCGGGTCATAGTCGAACAGCGCCCTCATGCGGCGGACCGGGGACTGCAGCTGGGACAGGTGGCCGTTCTGGATGTGGGCTTCGTCTGAGCAAGAAGACAAGAAACCGTTTACCAACCTCCGTGAATAGTTTCATCAAGTTGGAAAGTCACTGAGTAAAGAGACTCTACAAAACCAAGTCTTTTATTCAGCCGATGTTTCGGTGACTGTCTGTCACCTTCCTCTGGGCAATTCTGACTGGTTCACATTGCACTGCAGCACAGGTGTCGCTGCTACATATCACGCGTATGTGTAGATATATTGAAATATTGTATATTTGGGAATGATATGTAGCAGCGACACCTGTGCTGCAGTGCAATGTGAACCAGTCAGAATTGCCCAGAGGAAGAAGTTGTGTAAAAAGAATCTCTTCACTCCATTTACCAAATTGACTACCTTTGGTTATGTTTTCAGTGGCGTTCGTGTGTGTGTGTGTGTGTGTGTGTGAACACAATAACTCAAGAAGGCTTAGATGGATTGTCCTGACATTTGGTACTTTGGTAGGATTTCATAAGACCTCAATTTTGGGCCTCCTAGTGGCTTCTCATGGTACTGCAGTGGAACACAGTGAACAGTTTATCTCGAAAACAAACTGTACAAACAGAAACCAAATAGAAATTGTAGCACAGCTTATGTTTATGGACTAAGCAGAAATACAGTACTTGTATGACCCTGACCAATTACCTCAATGAAAAGCGACCAGTAGCCCAAGTCTTCTGAATAAACAAAAGCTCAAACAAACAAACAAACAAACAAACACAAATAATTAAGTCTCACCTCTATGATAGCCGCCAGCTAAGGAGTCCATTTTGTCTGGTGAGAGGGCGTTATGGGAGTTTCGGAGCTGCTGGAGTCGGTAATCATCCTCGATCTCCTCCACCAGGTTACATGGCACAACCCCGCACCTGCCGTCCACATCCCCCATAAAGAACCCATCCCCATCCTTGTCTCCATACACCTGAAACACAGGATACACATAAACCCCATGTAGAGCCCATCCCCATCTTTGTCTCTGTACACCTGTAACACAGGATACACATAAACCCCATGTAGATCCCATCCCCATCTTTGTCTCTGTACACCTGTAACACAGGATACACATAAACCCCATGTAGAACCCCGCACCTGCCGTCCACATCCCCCATAAAGAACCCATCCCCATCCTTGTCTCCATACACCTGAAACACAAGCAGGATACACATAAACCCCATGTAGAGCCCATCCCCATCTGTTTCTATACACCTGTAACACAAACAGCAGACAGATAAACCCCATGTAGAACCCTGTATCTCCCGTCCACATCCCCCATAAAGAACCCATCCCCATCCTTGTCTCCATACACCTGTAACATAAGGATACAGATAAACCCCATGTACAGCCCATCCCCATCCTTATCCAACACAAAATTTAGCTGTAAAATGAACAATCTCAGAGAGATCTGTTATAGAAGATGTAACCTGTTTGCAACTGGTATACACAAAGATGAATAAAAAAACCCTGAATGTTCCGACCTTGATGATTTGATGAAAAAAACCCAGAAAAGTAACATTTGCAAAGCAAATGCATAATGTTTACCTTCGCATATGGCCTGTTCTGCATGTTAAGTCATATTCAAACACATTCACATATATGGTGACAGAGTCTAAATCCCTCCTACTATCATCATCATCATCTGTCGTCTACTATAAAATTGCAACATTATGCAACCCAACACCAGTTACCATGGTGAGAGACAGTCTGCTTCAGTCAGGTCAGAGGTCACTGTCTGGAGGAGAAGAAGAAGAAGAAACATAGCGAAAACCATTATGTTTTCCTTCAGTAAACGTAAAAAAAAAACCCTGGCTGTCCTGACCTTGATGAGTTGCCCTTCCCTGAAGGGCAGTTCCTCGTCGGCAGCGTCGGGGTTGGGTGACATGGTCATGGGGTCGTAGTCGAACAGCGCGACAAACCAGCGCGGGGCGGCGCTGTCCCCCTCCATGCTGTCCCTCAGCGTAACGTCCGACTCTCCGCCCGAACTGTAGTCATCTTCCTCTGGTAGTTCTGTGTCTAAACAAACAAACAAACAAACAAACAAACAAACAAACATTCAACTCTCTGAGAGCTTCGGGCTAGAGTACTGCTTCTTGCTGCTACATGTAACGTTATATGCAGCTTGTCAGAAGCGCTGAGAATGATGTCTGACAGGCATTGAAGCATACAGGTGAGAAACTTAACTGGTTAAGTAAGAGAAAAATCACTATATTCTATGTCCTACAAACCTGATGAAATTATTTTCAGAACCAGTCATTGTTATATTGCTGTAAAACCAGTGGTTATTGAACTACAGAGTCTGACACACAAACTGAAAACAAAACCTTCATACAAGGCGGTAAGAAACAACAGAAGACGAGCACGAACCCGGTACAGGGCTGGCGTGCCCTCTCCTCTGCTCTCTCCAGTGTTGGGTGGGAGACGCGCGATGACCTTTCTTGACCTTGGTGCTCGGGAGCGGAGGTTCCTCCAGGTCGGATTCTGTGTTGGCCCCTAGGTCATCACCGGCAGGGTGAGTCAGCTGTGGTACAGGGCACAAGAGCACATGAAATTCTACTGAATATTCAAGACAAAAAACAACATTTGCAGAGCAAGAACATGTCAAGCTCATCAAATTCTACTGAATACTTGAGACAAGATATAAGTTAACAACAAAAACAACTTAACACTAGAAAGTGTTGACATCACACTTCAAAGAAGCCACGTGACAAGTCTCATGGGGTCAGTCTACTGAGGAAGACCAGAGTGACTGGTCGAAAGCTCTAGGTGAGAGAACTTCTTTGTGTTGGATCTAAAGTTTTAACTTTTAAGATAAAAAACTACCTTTGTGGTGAGGTGAACAGGTTGCGCGTGGTCCAGGCCGGGAACATCGATGCTCATACTGTCAGAGTTTTGCTCCTCCTCCAGATCTTCCTCAGCCTCCTCCGCGGAAACAAACAAACAAACAAACAAACGTACCTTTGCGGTGAGATGTACCGGTTGCGCGTGGTCCAGGCCGGGAACATCGATGCTCATACTGTCAGAGTTTTGCTCCTCCTCCAGATCTTCCTCAGCCTCCTCCGCGATGTCTGACAGCTCTGAGTGGTTACTGCTGTCCGAGTGGACCTCAGAGCGGAAGGATGGACGGATCTCTGGCTTCTGAAACAAGAAAATTCAATAAAAATTAATTAATGCATTGCAAATTGACAGAGACGGGGGGCGACGCAGGTTATCTGACATGTATGACCCTTTGATGCAATCACCTGTTTCTGACGTCACGTCCCGGAAGCTTCAGTAGAAGGGTCCATTCCGTGAACAAGGCTGACGGAGTCGGTCGAAAATTTGGGTAAGTCCCAATTTACTTAGTGTTGGATAGACCCTTTTGGTCATAACATTGCATATTGTATTAATTCAGTATAAGTCAATTATTAATTTATATATATTTTCTAAGGACAAAAAAAGGAACTCAGGCATCTACTTATAAACAGGAAGAAAAATTATTTTTCAAGTTTATTATCATCAGTTAGATAAATGATAGCAATACCAAGTTCATAATTATGTATATTATAATTACAATGTATGTTGCCATATGTTGTATCTTCTATAATTGTTGTGTAATAATCTAAAAGTTCTTCTTCTTCTATAGAGGTGTACAGGTAGCAAGCAAAGTTCAGTTTCCAGAAGTCTATGCATATTTTCATTCTCATACAGCAGATCATAGTATGTCTGTTATAAAGTAATAATAGATGCAATGACTTTATATATTGTACAAAATAGCCCACCTTCTCCTGCAGTTCCCTATCCATGCCACCAGGGGGCATCGGGAGACCATCCTGAGGAGACTTGGTGACGGTGCGCCCCACTGACGGCTCAAACTGCTCCACCTGCTCGTCCGAAATGTCGCTCTCGGGCGAGCTGTCGTCCGTCCGACCTTCGTACATCATCTCTATACTCTAAACAAACAAACAAACAAACAACATGTTGGTATTGATTAGAAGGACAAGATTTCAACTACTTGTAGTACACTACCATTTTAAGTGTTTCTTTCCGCATCAGCTGATGCATATATCAGCGCCCATCTCTGTTTCCATAGCCCTTTTAATTGGGCCACGTAGTTGAATGTGCAATCACTACATCAGGGGGCTAGTCCACTTATATAGTGGGGTGTGTTCACCTCCCATACACTTTCTCAAATGCTAAGTGCTAAGCAGAGAAAGATGTATACTATGTACTGTTTTTTTTTCAAGTCTTTGGTATGACTTGGATCAAACTCACGTCCTAAGTAATGCAAGGCAAGCACTCTAGCCACTTGGCCATAGCACCGGTTGTGTGCACCTATACCATATATTTCAAATCTGTAAATTGAGTTTTCTGCTTCTTTACCTGTATTTTCCCAGCATCCCTTCTCCCAGCCGGCTTCTCAGGTGCCTCCTCTGCGATGACTTGAGAAGACGACAATGCCGGGGGATGTTTGGATCTCTGCAGAAAAACGACAACAAAGTCAAACAACGACAACAAAGTCAAACAATGACAACAAAGTCAAACGACAACAAAGTTAAACCAGGCCACTTCAAGTCTTGTAGAATACAAATTTAAAAGTTCTCTGACCTAGAGCTTTCAACCAGTCACTCTGGTCTTCCTCAGTAGACTGACCCAGTGAAGCTTGTCACGTGGCTTCTTTGACCCAGTGTTGACGTCACACTTCAAAGAAGCCACGTGACAAGCCTCACTGGGTCAGTCTACCGAGGAAGACCAGAGTGATGGTCGAAAGCTCTAGGTGAGAGAATTTTTTGTGTTGGACCAAAAGTTTTAACTTTAAACATGTAACTACCAACACAGATGAACTTTTATGATAACACTATTAAGAAGTCTTACCTGGTAGAGCATTTTCTTGAGGCTGATTGGGATGACAGCAGATTGGGAGTTGATGGAGTCCCCGGAGCTGGAAACAGTTCTGACCAGGACAGGTCCGATTGTGGTGCCGGCTAACGTCGCAGCCTCCACAACAACACTGTCTGCTGTCGGCTCAGTCACCTCCGCTATCTGGTGAGTGAATGAATGAGTGAATGAATGAATGAATGAATGAATGAATGAATGGATGGATGAATGAATGAATGAATGAATGAATGAATCAATGAATGATTCAAAAAGAATCTCTCTTACAGCCTCTTGGCTGAATTGCAAGTTCCTTACAAATATTCAAAGGTAACATTCATTTCGTCAGCACTGTTGTAACAGAGACATTCATAATATAAAACAAATCATTTTCCTCCATATTTAAAAATAATTCTACCACGGCTTACTATTTTATCTATATGTTACAAAAATTAACATGTTAAAGGATCCTATCCTGTTGCATGACTCCTCTCAGAGTTTCTCTGTAAATCTCAATAAATACCAGTCCTAATGTACAAAACTGGTGTGTGCCATGTCTAAAGGCAGTTTACCGGTGAAACAAACAAACAAACAGACAGTCAGACAGACCTTCCTGTGTCCGGAGTAGACGGCGTAACCCTGCACCACGGCGCCATTGGACGTGCCGGCGGTATCTATTGTAACGGGGAGCCAGCTGATGAGCACCTGGGTCGGGTCCTGTCCCGGCTCCACTGTCACGTTTACCGGAGGGTCGGGGGGACCTGGACAATAAATTACAGCGGGTCAGATCTGGTCTTTTGAGGGCTGCGAAATACAGCATCAAATTGGCCAGGCAGTGTACATTGGCCACCCCTCAGTGGTAATCAATGGACACTCCTCTGGCCAATGGATACTGCCTTGTTACTGTAGGATCTGTTCAGAGATTAGGTTAGATGATAACAAATGTTTGTGATGTTCATAGCCTCACTAATGTTTGTGATGTTCATAGCCTACAAATGTAAACTTAGTTCAGTGCCTTAGTGGTGTCTTAGCCTTGCACTGACAGTATATTCTAAGACAATTCAAACTGTCCTACGGTAACCGTACAAATTATGGAGATTATTTCCGGACGTTTCGAGTGACATCCATCACTCTTCTTCAGCGTCAATAAATACATTAATTTTGTATATGTAAACTAAGAGAACTAGTTGACACTAATCATATGTGAAGGAACTGGAAAAAGCAGTTGAGTTGAGAATATGCTCATTTTACGAAAAAAAAAACTGCCGTACTGACCCCCTGGAAGTGTCTCAAACTGCACGCTGGCCGCCGTGTTTTCCTTCCTCTTCCAGGTCTTACTCTCGATGAAGTCCCACAGACTCGAGCTGCTCTTCTCAGAACGAACCTCTACTTTCTGCAACGTCCCTGGCTGCAAACCTGGGCACAAGGAATGAAGGAATGATGAGTGAGTGAATGAATGAATGAATGAATGAATGAATGAATGAATGAATGAATGAATGAATGAATGAATGAATGAATGAATGAATCAATCAATCAATCAATCAATCAATCAATCAATAGAAGAATAATGAATGAATCAATCAATCAATCTCAGGCACAAAGATAGGGAAAAAAGTTTCTTTACTGGAGTTGAAATAACCACACGCAAAATGCATAAAATTATTTTCAGATTGCAACTGGCTAGAAAAATAGAAAGGCTGAAAAAGTCCTGGTCACATACGTCTAAAATGCACCTAAGTGGGATTTTTTCTACAGCAATATTGCCGTATGTCGTATATACATGTAGGTTAAGAGAAAAACGTTGAGGTTGAGAGAAGAAATGGACACAGTAGTTTAATTTCTAAACTATTTCACCCATTTCTTCTCAATTTGATCTACATTTTGTACAACGCACGGCATCAACTGTCTTGCAAAACTCTCAATCATACATGCAAGTGCATCATATGATGTATGTGACAGAGGCTTTACAGAAAGAGACAATAAATCTGTGTGGGTGAAACAAAAATTATCTGACCAGTGATGCTGTGCTTGAAGACCCCGGGTGGGAGGAGCTTAGGTTCCCCGCTGTTCACCACCAGGCTGTGGGCGTGGCTGCTGTTGCTAGGTAACCAGGACAGCTCACACGACGTGGGGGTGACCTCTGACACCTGAAGGTTACTGGGCGCCAAGGTCGCATCTAAGGCACAAGGGCAGAAAGGTCAGGGTGTTTTTTTTTCAACAGTTGTAATATTAAGTTACATAATTACAATGTATGTTCCTAGAATGTACATTTACATTCGTTTGTAGTGTGCCAGTTAATATAGCAACGTTTAATTATTTTCTACATCGTTTTAATTTTGAGCAAACACTACATAAAACATTGTGTCCAACAGTGGCAGCAGATTGTATTCATCTTAGCACATTACAATGTGTTAGAATTTGATCTTTGATCTTACCATAATCCCTTGTCAACATAACTTCAAAGTGTACTTCTATCTATTAGTAAGCAGTTGGATGCATCAGAATAAAGTCATGTAAGAATGAAATAGAAGGAAAGATCCCCCCTCCCTACCTTTCCCCAGCATGAGTGTTGCCTGTGGGTCCAGAGACTGTCCTGCTCTTGTGGTGGTTCTCACACAAACACGATAAGTCTGCAGAACAGATATAACACGACACAAGTCAGATCTAACTCCTCTATTATAGAACTATTCAGTAGTCTAGCTAGAACATAAACTATAAAGAAGCAGAATACTGAATACAATGTATTACTAAGTAAACCATGAAAAATTCAGGCCAAGCTAAGGTTGCTATCATTTATGTTGGAAGTTCCTTACTCCTGGTGTCCCGTCAACTTGTGAAGCTGTGATCAGTTTTAGTGTTATCTGCATTTTAGCACAGGCAAGCAATATCTAAGATGATATAAATACAATGTAGATTGTAGAATGTTTTGCTGTGAGTTGTACAAGAAAAATAGAGATGAAGTTCAGTGGTGAAGGGACTTGTACTGAACCCTATCAGGGAGGCCAAATGATGAGGATGAACCTGACCTTGTCCATGTCGACGCCCTCGATGAGAGCGCTGGGTTTGGCATCCGGCGTGACCTTGGCCTTGAGCTCCCTGTTCAGGTAGACTGCATAGTGAAGGATCTCGTCTGTCGGGAGGTCAGCCGGCTCCCACCTCAGAACCACGCTGCTCGTCAGCTGCTTGTCAATCACCAGGTTCTGGGGACACGGAACTGCGGGAGGGGGGCAACATACTGTCAGGTTCTCAAGGTCATGTACAGGCTAAGGACACTGTGGGAGGGGGGCAACATACTGTCAGGTTCTCAAGGTCATGTACAGGCTAAAGACACTGTGGGAGGGGGGCAAACATGGTCAAGTTCTGGGGACACGGAACTGCGGGAGGGGGGCAACACTCAAGGTCATGTACATGTACAGTACTGAAGGGCACTGTGGGAGGGGGGCAACACACTGTCAGGTTCTCAAGGTCATGGTACAGTGCTATGGGTCTCAAGGTCGTGTACAGTGCTGTGGGAGGGGGCCAACACATTGTTTTGTTCTCAAGGTCATGTACATGTACAGTACTGAAGGGCACTGCGGGAGGGGGGCAATATATTTTCAGGTTCTCAAGGTCATGCAAAATACTGTGGGGCAACACACTGTCAGGTTATCAAGATCATGTACATGTACAATGCTGTGGTTCTCAAGGTCGTGTACATGTACAGTACTGAAGGGCACTGCAGGAGGGGGGCAACACACTGTCAGGTTCTCAAGGTCATACTGTACTGAAGTTCCTTGTGGGGAGGGTGCGAGAATGTTTTCTTGTTCTGAAACTCAACAAATCCTTGCCTAATGCTTCAAATATTAGCATCAGCCATTTGCAAAATACCTAGTATGAACACTCAGCTTAGAATTATAATGAATCCATGTCTCTGTACCCACCTGGAGTTTTGCCGGGACTTGCCTCGGTCCTCTGTAGACTGTCCAGCGTGTCTGTGAAGCTGTCGGGGAGGGTTGGAGCCAGCTGCAGGGCCGTGGGGCCTGGCTGGTTATCTGCTGCAGGACAGAACACTGCTTGTTTGTTTCTTTCGCATAACTGGTAAACCGTCTTTAGGCGTAACACAAGCTTTGTAAGACCGGACTGTAAGGTTTGACCCACTCACAGTGGGAAGGTCCCCTACTCTTTTTGATAAGTGCGGTGGGTTCTTTAACGTGCGTGGGGTGTGGCTCTCCCCAAACACGGAACCTGCATTTAACGTCCTATCCGAGGGACGTCCCTAGCCGAAGCTAGGTACTCATTTCCACCTGAGTGAAGTGAGGAAAGTCGTGTTAAGTGTCTTTCCCAAGGGCACAAGATCGGTGACACCGGGCAGGATTCGAACCCGGGACCTCTTGGGCCTGGGCCGAATGCGCTGCCGCTACGCCACATGACCCCAACCCCATCATTTTGCTATACGTGATCTCTGGGTTCTAGAACATCCAGATTACCTAACAAAACATTATCATCCCTGTGTAAGGAAGCAAAAATGGTAGAAGTTGAGGCTACTGACCGTTAGTGGAGCCATCCGGTACCAACAGGCTGATGCTGACTTCATCCTCGCTCTGGAACGACACGTGTGTAGCATCCTCATCACCTGTAAACAACAACAACATATTATATCATCATCTGTAAACAACAATATTACATCATCACCTGTAAACATATTACATCATCAACCTGTAAACAACAACACATTGCATCATCACCTGTAAACAACAACACATTACATCATCACCTGTAAACAACAACATAACATCAGATTTTGATTCATGACCCATAAACAACAAAAAATTTGTACTGCAGCTAGGTATCTCTGCTACAGAATTACACCAAGTCAGAAGTCGTTAACGTTGCTGCCCCGAAGAAGGTGCTTTATATAGAACCATGCTCAGACACAGTTCTGAATAGTCAACGCACATCCATAACTATGTCTGGGGCAAATATACGTTCTTGGATACACAGAGACTATCCAGAACTGTGCCTGATCCTAACCCTAACCCATTTAGGCATTGCTCAGTTCTGGATACAATACAGACTATCCAGAACCATGCCTGATCCTAACCCTAACCAATTCAGGCATAGAACTAGATAGGCACAGCACAATTCTGGGTATGATAACTTACTTATGGAAGGCTGTGCAGGGCTCCAATTGGGCATGTCCTCATCTGCGACACGCTCCACGAAGTTGGAGGGAACCAGGCCCCGGGAACCGTCCATCAGCTCACCTTGGAAAAACATGTCCTGGGGGAGAGACAGGAGGGGTTTAAGATAGTGTACAAGTGTGTACATGTCTGTGTGTGTGTGTGTGTGTGTGGGGGGGGGGAGTGTCAGTGTGTGTGTGGGGGGGGGGGTCCTCTCTGCAAATAGGATGTAGGACTCGGGAGCTATAATAGGCCTGGTTTGGTAACCAGACTACAATGAACCTGTCTTGTGGAATTAAAGAACTATAGAGGCACAAAACGTTAGTCAACTACAACTCCCACCACCAACAATATCCTGGACACAGAGGACTTCAAGACTTTGTACAAGGAACCTGTCTCGTGAACTTAAAGACATAAAAATATGTCCCGGTGCATGGGAGACAGAGGACTTCAAGACTCTGTACAAAAAACCTGTAACTTTTGCCACAATGTCACAGTGTCACCAATTAGCACCCATTTAGCCCAACAACTTTGTCACAGTGCAGCGAACCTGTACACTGTTTTGCTACAACGTTGTGACCCACCTCGTCCATGTCTCCGTACACGTAGACGTAATCTCCCGCCTGGAACGACAACTCTGCCTCAGGATTGTCGTTGGGTCCTTCGTAAGGGTTGTAGGAGTACCTGGGAATAAAACATCATGTGTTACATCCTGGTTAAGCTTTATAAATTACCAATTTGCTTGCATTGCTATCAATTATATTTAGTGCTGTTAAGTAGTCTTTCCCTTATTTAGACAGTTCAGTTCTTTTGGATCAGGTTCAGGTTCACTTGTTGTTTGACATGTCCTGTGTAAATGTACATGTATGCTGGGTCCCATTGTAAAGCAGCTTCTACTAGCTGAATGGGCACATCATCATCATCATCCACTGTATTCTGCGTCTACAGTCGTGTGGAATGTCCTGTAGCCGCATTCAGCCTTTTTTCATCTCTTTCCACTTTTGTCTTCTGCCTCGCGAGCTCTCTAAGCTCCTTGAGTTTCTTTTCTGTTGTGGGAGGGCCTAGCCCTCTGCGCTTCATGTCTCCCTGAATGGGCTTATAATCCAGCTCCCTGAATGAAATAAATAAATGCCCGAAAACAATTGTAAAAAATTGTAAAACTACAATTTTGTACCTTGCGATATACACTGCGAGTTTTTTCCTGTCCTGGTTGGCCCCACTGCTGTGTGTCGGTCCCGTCTCGCTGCCTTCTGAACCCTGATGTTTCTCCATGTCTGCATCACCACTGGCTTCTGCTGTACCTGCAGAATAACAGAAATATTCATACAAAACTTAACAAACAACTAGCCTTAACTTTAAGAGATATGTCTTACCAGACGGACTGAAACATATCAGGGGGCTCGCATGCCCTTTCCCGTAGAGCGTAATCGGTCGTTTTAATTCTATGCAGAGCATAGACGGACCGCTCTAGTCAACATAGAGCGTAATTGGCACATTTTCCGTTTATAGCGTATTCACCATTTTAATTCTACGTAATGCATTGTAGCCATGTCTTGGAATTTATCGTAACGTGTAATCAACAGGTTTCCGAATTCCGTGTAGAGCGTTGTCGGGACCCCCCATGCAGGCCCTCATATCAAGCAAGGTGAGAGTCTTTCCTGGTTGTGAGAAAGAAAATTCCTAATTCCTAAATATCCTTTAAGAGATAAATTATGGTTTTACGAGTAATTTTCTATATTCCATATTTGAAGTGTTTAATGTACACTTTTCTGATGAAGATTCATTCAATGACTGATCATTTCTTTCATTCTTCCTTCAATAACTAAGTCTTAGTCTAAAAATAAGTTAGAGAAACATTAAACAAACACAAAACTTAACTAGAGCAATAACATTTGAAAAGCAAATGCATAATGTTTACCTTCATATGGTAAAATATATTAACAAACTACCTTCACTCATACAATTTTAGACTAAACATTCACTCTCTCACCGTTTAAGCCCTGAGTGTGAGACTGTGTGGCTGGTTCAGGGCTGGGGTTGTCTTGGTGAGAAGGTAGGGTGTACGTGCTAGCCTCATCCCACGAGTCTCCAGATCCTACAAACACAAAAAAATAAATAATTATGCATCAAATTAAGGAGATTTGAAAATTTGATGTGCTAACTTTTTGTGGTTTGGAATAAAACCTTAATGAAGCACATCCTTCTGATTGATTCTATTATTTCATGAATAAACAAAGCTTCAAACAAACACAGTTTCACTGGGCACAGTAAGAATATTAGACACCAAACAAGACTATTTCCTGAGAGAGGTGAAGGAGGCTATTTACATCAGGGCCTTCACTCAACCGTGACGGGGGCCGACATTGTCTACCAGATACCTTTGACCCGGTGTTGACGTCACACTTCAAAGAAGCCATGTGACAAGATTCACTGGGTCAGTCTACTGAGGAAGACCAGAGTGACTGGTCAAAAGCTCTAGGTGAGAGAACATCTTTGTGTTTAAGATCAAAAGTTTTAGCTCTAAACACACACACAGCCTGTACCCACCATCTGGCTCCTGTATAGGTTGAAATCCGGCAGACGACAGTTCTTTGGCAAGACTTTGATGATTGACAGGTGGCGAAATCGATCTCTTCGCTGCCGTAGCAACTACCGCGGGGGCCGGTTCCGGCGTGCCGCTCACTCCGGGGGAGACCGCTTCGAACGCTGACGACCTTTTGGCCCCGACGATCGGCACCGGTTTCACCAGTTTTCCCCGGTCAGATTCCTGCTGGGAGGGTCTGTCTGTCTGTGTGTCCGTCTGTGTGTCTGTCTGGAAAGACTTCTGTGTTCCTGTCCTGATAATGTTCACCTGGACTCCCACAGAAGTGGCAGGAGGAGGAACGGATTTCTCGTCGTCTGACTTTTTGGCAAGTTTCTCCGACAAGTCCTTCAACTGTTCTGTTTGCCGTTGGCATAGCAACTGCCCCTCGGCATGCTGGGAGTCCAACTCCTCTAGTCTGGCCTGGGGGAGGGAAAGGCAAGTTAAGTTTTCTCCATAACATGATGATCATCCATAGTTTATGTGACCAAAAAAAGACATTATAATAATTATTTTCCAGTAAAATAACATTTTTTCAACAGCCGTGACTTTTTCCAAGAAATAGAGTATAAATCAAATCAAAGAAATATGTACACCAAAGTCATTGACTAACACCTACCTGGAGCTGGGTTAGGGTTTGTCTGTGCGTGTCTTCAGTTTTCTTCTGGTGCTACATACAGTACATGGTAGGGAACACATTAATCGTACAATATTAGTAAACAAAACTCACACTCAGTCAAAACAAAAAGATCCTTTTAATGCACAATTATAAAACTTTGGTCTTTGAGTTTCATAACAGTTTATAGTTTCTCATAAAAAGTATATTTTAACCACACATCTCCATGTTGACTTTTTGATGGCTTGATGGTGGCTTAAAACCAACTGAATATCCACGGCCCAAGCGACTGGTGTTCCCCGTAGTAAAACTGATTGTTCTCACCTGCAGAAGTTCCTGGACAGTTTTTTCCTTCTCCTCCAGAAGATGTTTGGTGGCTGCGAGGTCCTCAGTGGGGTTTTGTCTCAACTCTTCTTCCAATTCCTGCAAAATAGTAATTAACAAAAATACTCAAAACAAAACATTTGAAAACTCCTGGAAAATGATTCAGATCTTCTTTCAATTCCTGGAAAATAGTAATTAACAAAAACGCTAAAAACGGAACACTAACTACTGTCTTTGTTTTGTATATTCATTTCAAGACTTTTGAAAATTCCTGGGAAATGATTCGACACTTCTTTCAATCCCTGGAAAACAATAGACAAAAATATTCCATAGAAATATAATTTTATGTTTTGTGTATTGGAAACAAAAGTTCCTGGAAGATTCAGCACAAAAATTGATTCTGAAAACATTTGTCTCATAAGGATTCGACTACACAACTCAGAACACAAATAGATTTAAAACTTAACACCTAAGTCCTTTTTCATGGAAAAACTCCAGGAGTGGAAAAACGTAATACAGAACCATAAATATGTCACCTGTAGCCCACATCCTCATCAAAGACGGAAGACAAACATTATTGATTTTTTTGGGTCGCCACAATCCAATATTATCACCATTATCATCAGTCAACCATATTGGTTGGAGTTATTAATATATAGTACCCTTTTGTTAGGTTGATAAAAGATGGGGGCACATGCCATGAAAAAATAAGTTAGTCCAATTATAAATTTGTGGAGCACAGGCAGTGATTGCTGGTATTGTTCACCACACATAGAAAATCACTATCACAGACACACGAGTATACAGTGTAATCATACACACAAGGATAAACATCCCTGTCCCTGGTGCTGAACACCATCCACACAGATAAACACACCAGTCCTTGGTGCTGAACACCATCCACACACAAACATGCCTGTCCTTGGTGCTGAACACCATCCACACACAGATACACATGCCTGTCCTTGGTGCTGAACACCATCCACACACAGATACACATACCTGTCCTTGGTGCTGAACACCATCCACACACAGATACATGCCTGTCCTTGGTGCTGAACACCATCCACACACAGATACACATGCCTGTCCTTGGTGCTGAACACCATCCACACACAGATACACATACCTGTCCTTGGTGCTGAACACCATCCACACAGGCAAACATGCCTGTCCTTGGTGCTGAACACCACCCACACACAAACATGTCTGTCCTTGATGCTGAACACCATCCACACACAGGCAAACATGCCTGTCCTTGGTGCTGAACACCACCCACACAGGCAAACATGTCTGTCCTTGGTGCTGAACACCATCCACACACAGATACACATGCCTGTCCTTGGTGCTGAACACCATCCACACACAGGCAAACATACCTGTCCTTGGTGCTGAACACCATCCACACACAAACATGCCTGTCCTTAGTGCTGAACACCATCCACATACAGGCAAACATGCATGTCCTTGGTGCTGAACACCATCCACACATAGGCAAACATACCTGTCCTTGGTGCTGAACACCATCCACACACAAACATACCTGTCCTTGGTGCTGAACACCATCCACACACAGGCAAACATACCTGTCCTTCACACATGTAAATATCAGGCCACACTAATGTAATCTGCTGGTTCTTGGTTACCTGAATAACCGCCTGCAGATGTTGAACTTTGTTTTCCTGAGCTCGTTTCGCCGTCTGGAGTTCCTCGTTCTGAATCAGCAGCAGGTTCAGCTGGTCCCGCACACCCTGCGACTCAAACTGTGTCTGCAGAAAAAAAACAATGACTCAAAATGCATCTGCAGAAAAACATTGTCAACAACAACGACTCAAACTGCGTCTGCAGAGAAAAACAATGACTCAAACTGCGTCTGCAGCAAAAAACAGGACTCAAACTGGGCCTGCAAAAGAAAAAAAAAGCCCCAAACTTTGAAAAAAACAACAACAGGGCAATCAGAGATGGAACCCTCTTACCCACACTGGTTTGCCACAAACATTGCAGCACTGAAGACGTACAAAAATGTACATTTGTGGCCAGCCCCTCCAACTAAGGTTTGCCACTTGCTACATAATGTTATCTAACACCATAGGCCATCTGCTACAGCAACAGTTGCCTTGGTGATTGACAGATGTCTAATTCAGGTCATTGGCCTTATTTGTTTGGAACGGAAGGAGAAGAAACTAGCAAAATCAATATGTTTTCCTTCTGGGAAGTTAAACATAAAAAGCAATGTACCTGTTCTAGTTGAGAGACCTGTCGCTGAAGTTCGGATGTCCTTTTGGTCAGGTCAGTGTTGTCAACAACTTGGCTTTCAAGCTCTGACTCCTGCAGCGGGGAAACAAGTTTGTTTGTACAAATAAAAGGCAACCAAAGACAGCAAGGAAAACAGAGCACATGGCAGAACATACTGCACCTGGGCAAAATCCTGATTTTTTACGGCTTTTGTTGGATTTTTGGTCCGTTGCATCTGAATTTTGTTTGTTGCAGACAATATCTTTTCTGACATAACATTTTGAAACTTTAGACGAGATGTTATTTATATATGTACATGTAAGTTGTAGGAATATGACCTTACAATTTTACATATACTGTATATGAGATGTTTTGTTGAAGTGCTGTGCACAATAAATTGCTGGTTTCACACAGGTGCAGTACATTCTGCCCATGTGCTGGAAAACAGAACCTACCAAGTAGGAGCATCTCTGATTACTGTTACTGAGCTGCTCTTCAAGTTGTGCTCTGGAGACCTTCTGCTCGGACAGTTCCACTTCCTGTAAAGGGGGGGGGGGCAGAAAATAATGGTGATGCATGAAAATGTGATACCTGGTCACTCACAAGTCGGGGGTACATGCTGTCATGTACAAACTGAAATACATGCAGATCTAATACTGTGGGAGGGGGGCAACACACTGTCAGGTGCTCAAGGTCATATACAGTACTAAAGGTCACTGTGGGAGGGGGGCAACACATTGTCACTGGGTTCTCAAGGTCGTGTACAGTTAACTGAAGGGCACTGTGGGAAGGGCGCAACACTGTCAGGTTTTCAAGGTCATGTATAGTGCTGAAGGAACTGTGGGAGGAGGCAGTGCAATGTCAGGTTCTCAAGGTCATGTACATCACTGAGGGGACTGTGGGAGGGGGGCAACACATTGGCTCAAGGTCAGGTACAGAACTTACCAGTGATGAGAGTCTCCTGTTGGTCTGCCTGAGTTCTTCCTTCAGTCCCTGCTGAGTTGTCTTCTCGTTCTGTAAACTGGTTTCCTAAAAGGGAGGAACAGTCAACTTCAATTTCACGCTCTACTAGAGCTGTGTACCGTGTACCTGTACCCCAGGGTCTAGGTACAGGTCCGAACCTGAAACTGTACCTGAACAATTCAACAAATTGATATGTTAGAGCATAACTAATAGGCAACAGATTATTCGTGGTAGTTAACACTGTCAGTCTGTAACACAAACACGCTGCTGTCCTTACTTTGGGACCAGCTATTGAGTCAACAGTACACATTTTAGGTCACAAATAGGCATATAATTAGTATGAAATTATTTAGGTACAGTACCAGTGCTGAGGGATTAGGTATTTTGGACCTAATCAATGTTTCTAGTACAGAACCAGTACACAGCTCTATGCTCTACCCATCTTCTCTTCCACCTTGTCTCAGTGGAGGCCGTCTGTAGATATCACACAGCCCACAGCCACCCGTTTCCCAGTCATAATGAGATTCCAAAAGGGTGGGTTGATGATTCCCAGCCCAGGCTGTCAAATATCATGTCTAACTCCCATATCCACCTACATAGATTGATTTCTTAATTTTGCAAAAGTGAGACCGAATAATCCATACGTGACAATGTTACAGTAACTGTTATGTGGTTATAAAAGTAAAGTTACCTTATCCTTGTAGTACTGTATTTCTCAGTAGGGAGAAGGTTTTATTTTCTTGTTTTCTCTGCTTGAATGCCTTGTGAGTTTGTTAGTTTGTGAGTCTGTACAAGTAGCTGAGATGATAGAATGATGCTTAATGTAGACTATTGTAAGTGATATACATTTTGTACCAAGTCATTGACAGACTACATTCTTCCTGGAGTCCTGACTAAGGTAGTACAAAGTATAACAACAGTACAAAGTATATATACACTTGAATCAACAAAAAAACAAACAACAACTTGTGAACTCCAATTAGATTAACAAAAAATGTGAGCTTCAAATCAGAATGGGATCAATGTCTACTATATAAATATTAATACATGTAATATTTGATAAATCATACTAAAAACAAAAAAACGAAAGCCATACCAGTTCAGGTACCCTGCCTGCTGCCTGTGACAGAGTCTCTACTTGCAGCTGCAGGTTCTGAACTCTCTCATCTTCCCCATCAAACCTGCCAGTCTCCAACTCTCCATTCTACACAACAACAAGGGGAAATGTCTCAGGTGAATGTAAATAACAGAGTTATTAAAGTTAAAACATATGGCAGCATCCATCTCTGTTTCTGTAGCCCTTGGGCCACACAGTTGTGTCACTACAGCAAGGGGCTAGTCCATCTCAAATGCTGAGTGCTAAGCAGAGAAATCTGTATACATGTACCAAAGACTAAAAATGGTACATATATAATATATAATTGTTATGTACCATTTTTAGTCATTGGTATGACCCGGCTGGGGATCAAACTCACGACCTACCGAATGCAAGGCGAGCACTCTACCCACTTAGCCATTGCACCGGTTGAATGTAAATAGAGCCACAACATTATCAAAAAGAGCAGCGGTCCTTCCCGGTGTGAGTGGTTAAAACCTTACAGTCTGGTTTCTGGGTTGACATCTTAAAAAGGTAATCAGATGGTCAATATATGTCAATCCTTCCACAAATGTGGAAAATCTCAATAAAATGAAAAAAAGATTCACGAATACGAGCCATTGCTGATGCATGATGAATTGCAGGATGTCAAAACTGGCCTTGGTTCTTGAAGATGACGTTAGCAAAATTCAGTCAGAAAATGGAAGAAATCAAAATAAAAAGTGTATGTTACTAAATTAAATGAAACCTTGAATATAGTGTAATTCCTGATTTTTTTTACTGTACTGTTATGTTTACTGTTTTCACTGTCACTTCTGTACCGTGAACTTATCATTACAGTTAATAAGAAATAATTCCTGTACTTTCTTTTTCCTGCACCTGTCACCACCGTGAATATGTAGTTCCGTGAACATGTCCACTTTTCTCAGACCGTGAACTTTTGCTACTGTGAATTCATAAAGTGAATTACAGTATCTATATCTACTCCCTGATTCACTCAGGGTCTGTGTGAACCAAGCTACAGACGTTCCCCTCATCAGTCTGTTTTCATGATGATAATTTATTATCTAATACAATATAGTTAATATTATAATAATAGTTACTATATATATGATTATTATTATCTGAGAACCAACAAATGGAATCAGTGTGACATCGACATGCGATAAACCACAGAATCTTGAAGTGTTATTCCTCATTAGGTGACATTAATTAATGAACAGAGGAGTCGTTAGGAGGCTAATCAGGTTAATTAGTGCTGCTATGCATCATTTATCCCACGATGCTCATCAATTTGGACAAACCAGCTTGTTTGGATTCAGGGCTGCTGTCAGATACTGGAGCTGCATGCAGGTCAATATTCAATGGGCCACATACGCACACATACATGTGGGTCAGACTACATGTAGGTTTTTTATCATGCTAGTAGTGGTGATATGAGACATACATGTACATGTATACCTCACTATTACGCATTTTGCATTTCTCAGAATCTATTTGAAAGTAATAGTAGCAAGGGATGTAGATTATAACTGTTACAGTTGTGAGACGATTTGTCCAGAAATTCAGAGTAATATTTGCACGATTGTTCAAATATTTAGATCTAGGGCCATATCATCCCAGTTGTGATATCAGACACTAACAAATGTCATGTACATGTTCATGTATGCTAAATAATCTCTCTTTGTTCTTTTTGCAATTTTCATGTAACAGTAGCAAAGAATATTTGAGATTTTATTTCAGATTTTATTATTTTGAGATTTTTAGATTAATATGAGTTTTTTTTTAATCTTTAGAGACAGATGTTTGCATGTTCAAATATTTACACAGGTCAGGCTTGGTCATTATCATGAAAGAGGTGACAACAGCCATTTTTACAATTATATTCTCACAATTTTCATGATTAGTAATTGATTCTAACAATGATTTAGATGTTTATGAGAAGAGTTTTTTCCGATCTAAGGACTCTGAATGTTCCAATATTGACCCAGGGTCATGATCAGGTTGATAACTGGTGCAGAGCGCCACATCTGGCAGGTTTGCTCGATCGAGCGTTGGCCTGACGCCCAGACAGACCATTCATTCCTACATCAGGCAGCCGAAATCTCTGCCTCTCTTATTTTCAGGGCTGGAAATACTAGCCTCCACAGCATGCCAAAAACTGTGGGGTTTGTGGGTCTTCATGGTCTTTGGGAGCTTTTATGTGCTATTTTCTGATTGCATATAGACAACATAGCCGGCCTGGTTGAATTTACCCCCGTTTTTAGAACTGGGCTAATCAGAAAATAGCCAAAGCAAAGACCACCAAACCCCCAGTTCTATAAGCCTTGAGGCTACACTTAATCTATTTTCTTGGTTTTCCCACATTTTAAGCTGAAAATTAAGCTAAGCATTCCTACATATACATCGGACAGTCAAAATCCCTGCCTCTCCTTCCGTACACATCAACCAGGTTACAACCTCCTTGTGGCTACACTAAAACTATTCTTGGTTTTCCCACATTTTTAAGCTGAAAACACAGCAACCAGACATCATAAAAGCAGAGGGCAGGGCGGAAAACTTGAATATCAGACTGTATTGATCAATCCATAAAACTGCGCGCACCGAGGCATCAACCTGGTCCTCAGGATTTGTTTCCATTTATTATACCCCTAGACGTTTTTTTTAAACAGGCCTTTGAAATTGTTTTATTGTTTTTTTTCTGTCATTTTTGGGCAAAAAATATACATTTTGGGATCTGGAGCCCTAGCACTAAAACTAAATGACCTGAAATTTGGTATGGGGACACCTTGGACGCATACTATTAGGTTTTTCCATTTAAAACAAAAACCAGAGAACCAACAAATACAATTGGTTTGGCCTGTGTACATGTACATGTACACAGTACAGTGTCACACACACACCCAGACCCGTAACTTGACTATCATACCAATTCTAAAAAACCAAAAAAAAAACAAGAGCCAGCTAATAGAATTAGCGTGGCCTGTATACATAACACTGGTCATCTCAATTTAGGAAAGTCACTGGCCATTTGGAATGTCAAGTAAAAATTAACATTTTGCATTCAAGTTTCACATCAGTGCGCAGGTCTTGATGTAAGGAGTATAGTGATATGAAAATTATTGTTCTGCAGTATTCATAACTTTAGATATCATTTATAGAAAATGCAAGCAGACCGACGGGTTTTTCAGCACCCCGACAGGGCTAGCAGCTACCCCGTCAGGACCAAATCACAGGACCGTCGGTGTAAAGTACTCACCCCGTCGGTGTAAGGTACTCACCCCGTCGGGGTGACACTGTCATAATCACTAAACCCGACGGGGTAATGTCACCCCGACGGGGTGGGAGTTCTGGTCAAAGAGGTGCAAAATCCCAAAACAAAGCCAGGAAAGGTGTGAATTGATCAGTCTATACACACCGACGGGGCAAGTTTACCCCGATCGGGGTGAGCTCTGATCCCGTCGGGGTGAGCTTAGACAGTCATCCAATCCAATTGATGTGCAAAATCGACATTATCAGGACAAAGAATAAGCATGGAGAGCACAATCCATACTCTTCTATCTGCCCCTTTCAGCCAACTATAAGGGTCACAAAGAAGAAAGATTCCAGAGAGCTTACAAACACATACTCACTACTCCAAAGCTAATGTCTAATAGAATTTTACTGACATGATCAATATTGACTGAAGGAGGCCATATAAAATAATACTTAAATTCATTTCCTTCAGTCTATTTGTAAGAATTGAGATGTAGAACACACAGGTCTTGCAAATAAATTGATCAAGTTCCTCAATTGCTATTACACTGGCCACAATATTCGGGGATCGAAATTAATGGCTTAGCAGCTGAAAACAGTCAGTCGTTCTTGTGAATATTGCCCACAAATTTTCATATGGTCATAATCGTGTCATATAATGCCTTAGCTGGTCAAGAATGGGAGCAATCTCTGATAATTGTCACAAAAAAGGGAGGTTCTCTCTTTTACCTCCTTTGTCTGAGTGGAAGGAGGCCCTTTGTTATAATGTCTGTCATTCAAAATACACACTGCAAGCAGTGCAAATCAGGACTCACTATTCTTCTCAGATATTTGGAGGCATCATAAGAAATATGTTGAGAAACTAGGAAGTTGGAACATACATTAATTTTGAACCTTGGTACCACCAGGTGCAGAGTATTTTTGTGAGGATGTCATGAAATCTTTAAACCAAGGAGCTTTAAAAAGCTTGGTGTGACTTGCTGAGAAACTTGACATCGTGTGTATTTTGTCCCATTGTTCTGTCTGAGACAAGTTAATTGGCTGCATTGTTTACTTATTGAGACTTTTTACAGCGAAAGGAGCTTTGAATCAATTTTAATGAAAGCTCTTTGCAGCCACTTATAATTGAGCCTAAATACTTAGACTAAGTAGATAAGCAAGAAGCCTAATATTCACAACTTGAGCCTGCTTTCAAAGCAAGGAATTATACAATCCTCTATTTCTGTCCAACAGTACCCATTCGGTAATTATTCTGCTCCAGGTACAATTGTTATGCGGGTTAAAACTAGGTCAGCTATTGTTCTTGACATGCAAATGTCACTGTCCAATTATCAACTTGATACAAATTATCCTATAAGGGAGTGTGTTACATGCCAAATTACTGGTAGTATCTCGGCAGCTTGTACTGGGTCACCCAGGAAAAGTCAGAAAGATAGCCCATGTGAAAACTAAAGATTGTAATTGACCATTTGGCCCTTCATCCAGTCAGATTTTCTGCTATCTGGCACCTAACATTGCACTTGGCCATGGGTTTATAGATACATGTAGTAGTATGTGTATTTTTGTTTGCTGCATTGACTGTTAGCACCTATGAAGTATAAAAAAATAATAGCAATGGTTACAGATTTTATTATGATGCATACTTCTCAAAGTCTGAGTAAGGCCACACCTATTTAATTTCTTGGTTATCAGATTTTCTAGAAAAATAACGGAGGGGGCGGAAAAAAAATGAAAATAAAAACAGGCCTAGGCTTCCTATTATGGCCCAAAATGGTACGATAGGAGCCATGCAGTCCGCACACCAGGCTGGTTCAAAATTTAAACAATCATTTTGAACTTTTAATGATACCATT